CCAGAAACAAGGTTGATGACAAAGGAGAACGGGGTTTAGATCATGACCTTGCAAATCATTATTTTCAATTTGGATGGACATAATATTGACACAGTTGTAGGTTTGAAAGGTAAATTAATGTTACTATTGAAAGGTGATGATAAAAATGAAAAGAATTTAAAAAGGTTAGATAATTTACCTTAATTAATATTATCAAAAAGTTAGGGAAATTAACAAGTAGCTGTGGTTTTTCATTTAGTGACAGGTCTTAAGTGGTTTATGAATTTGTGCGTGGGTTTTTGTTTGATGTGGGTCTTCCCTTCATGTGTTTAAGCTGCCCAGGTGTATTTGGAAGGCTCCTTTTTGTGCTTTTGTTTGGGTCCCATGATGAGCTGCTTTTGTTATGGGCTCATGGTTAGCCTTTGGGTTTCCCCTTATATCTTTTTGAGCAGTGATCAGCGTTACAGTTTCTGTTCTGCTCAAACCAGAAGTGTTACGCCGTAGGAAGTCTATGTTGAATAATAGACCACAGACTTGTAATGGCGTGTTGATTAATGAGACTAATAAAATTACTTTTAAAAAAAATAATACGTTTCAATTTCTTCGACTTGATCCATTGTATGGCTGCTGGATGTGCTGTTCTGAGTTAATTGAAAAGATAGGAGAGGGCCACAAAAAAATTTTTGAAAATTTGTATGTAGTATATATATATATATATATATATATATATATATATATATATATATATATATATATATATTTAATGGCTCAAGGGAATAGTATATTTATGAGGTTGTGGTCTTTTTAGAATTTTTATAAATTTTTAATTATTATAAATTTTTATTTAATAATTAATATAAATAAAAAATAATAAAATAATTCTATCAAATTTACTTAACTTTACTTTAATTCTTAATTAAGTTTTTTCACACCTTTTTCTCTCTCTCATTTTTTTCCTCTTTCTCTTTTTTTTTTATCTTTTTATTTTTATTTTATTTTTTTACGTAACTCATCATTTAAATACATTTTATTATTTAAAAGAGTTTTATGAACTTGGATAAGGACCGCTCACCACTCGTCTGATACGAATACTAGGAAGAGATAAAATTTTCTTTTATCTTTTTGTTTCATTTATATTGTTTAATTATTTATTTAATTATTATGTAAATGCATATATGTCGTATTTAACTATATATAGTTTATGCATTACATTTTTATATTTAATATTTTAAGTTTAAATAGAAATAAAATAAAAATATTAGACATTGATTACATTAATATTTTTAAAATTTGATTAAAGTATAAATAAATTGAAAACAATTGTCAAATTCTTTAAAAAGAAAAAGATGCAAAATCATCCAAATGATTTTTTACATTTAAGTCACCAAGCCTCGATCAAAATTATGAAAACAAGACTTTAAAACAAAATACAGGATGAATTTATTACAGATAGTTTACTTATTTATATTGAAAAAGATGTTGCTTGTCTTTTTAATATAAAATTAAAAATTGATGAATTTGAATAAAAAAAATATCGTCGAGTATAATTTTTTTAAAAGATTATTATAAATTTTTTTTCTTAGTTCTTTTTTATTTATATATTATATAAAATTATTATTTATTATAAATATTTTGATTATTAGTTAAATTCAATGTATTAATTTTAAAAATTCTTAACTTTTATTCTTTTTTATCTTTGACTCTCAACAACACTTGACTAGTTTCACCCCTGCATACGAAATTGGCTTTTGAGTTATGATCATAGACAAAGTACTTGAATTCACATTGTGATTGCCATGAAGAAAACGTAAACAGTTATCCACGTTTAGTTTGGTCTAAATATTTATAACCTTGAATCAGTAAATGAGGATTGATGACCTTTTTATTCAAATACAATGTATTCTCATTCGGTATCTACTTATTTTAAGGATCTAGCTAGGCTCGAATTAATTATTATACAGAATACAGTTTTCTTTTCTTTTTTTTTTAAACCAAGTAATGTATACAGAGTCACCAAAACCAGAGTTGTACATGAACCGAAGAGAAAATGAAGTTCATAATTATAACCAGCAAGCACCAACTTGGATTTATATTGTTATCACAATTCAACAATTATTTAAGAAAATATAACAAGAGGTGAAATTATATTGTTAATCATCACAATCCCTTTGGATGACAACAAGTATAAGTAGATCATATTTAAGAAAGAGATCATCACTCTTCAATGTCTTTGCATGCCACTTTCCACCACTGGAGCCGTTGGCATCCCCTGGTTTTGCTGCCTCGCCATGTTCCCTTGCCATCCTACAGATTCCAAAACAAACACATGTAAAAGGTGTACACTCCAAAATCATACAACTGAGAGAAATAGGTTACGCAATTAAGTTTGATCAGTGAAATCAAATTGGCATTTTAATTACCAAGGGCCATGTCAAATCCATGGTTTTTGAGTTCCCGGTACTCTTGACACAAGGCGCAGGTCTCGCAGCAAAAATGAGTGCAGCAGTCCCCGCAGGAACTCTCCTCCAGCATGTATTGGCTCCTCATTCTGGAGCGATAGGAGCATGAGTAAATGCAGGCACACCCCGGGAACCAATAAAGTAATCCGTAGAGGGCTCCACTTGCTGCGCAAGCTGCACCACCGGAAATTATGATAAGTAATTCTGATTAAGAATAATTATGATAAGTTTCTCATGATTTATAAATTATTGACTAAAATTTATGTCTAGCTAGGTCTATTATTTGTGATTGAATCTTTAAATATAATTGATCTATTAATTGAGTTTTATCAATTAATTAATTTTGGTTATCAGTTTTAATTTTTTGTTTAGTGTATAGTTTTCAGAAACAAACTCCAACTAATTAGAGAAAATCAACTTTAGTCTTGCCCTATGAATAAATATATCCCCTGTGTCCTTTCTTTAACCTTGTTTTCTTTAGATATAAAAAAATTATGTTCTCTTTTTTTTTTTTCTAGGATTCTTAATAGTTTTATTTTTTAATATATTTTTTTACTTTTGATATTAAAAATCATAATACTTCAATTTTTAAAAACAATTAATATAAAATACACTAAAATTAAAGCTTAACTTCATAAAAATTAGTTACGGACAAACAAAATAAGGGAAAAAGAGTATTTATTTTGTCATTTATGCCTCCAATAACTTACAAGTTGATCCTTGATCGACGATCTCAGCAATCTGCCCAAAAGTGATGCAAGGACACCAACATGTGATGCAACCTACAAAACCAAGTCATAAAAAACAAATTTCAAGGATGCCAATGAGGAAATACTAGTACAACTTAAAATCTTCAAATATGATGGGGAAAAGCTTGATTTGAAAGGAAAAGCTTACAATTTGAAACATCAGAGCAGCAGTCACAGAGTCCTGTCGACCAAGAGACCTTCCCTGCAGGCTGGGGAATATGATGGGGAGCAGGCTGCGCGTAACTTTGAGCAGGATAATATGGCTGGTTTGCTGAGGTACCGATCGGAACACCGGTTGCTGGAGCCTGTTGCGCGAAAACAGGTGGCGACTTTGAGTTGTTTGTGGCGTACATGGCGATGCCTGATGGATATCAAGATTGGAAAAATGATTTTGAAGGCTTGAAAATTAAGGGAGAAGAGAGATGTTGGGTTTGTATTTGTATACTGAAGCTAGGAAGAAATATTCCAATCAACCTTTGCGGGTCTTGCAATGCGATGACCCAGACTGAGTCTCGGCTTGCCGTCTTGCTGGAATTTTCTTTTAATTCCGTGGCTCCATTCACCATATATATAAAAACCTGGCAATTCAGGATTGGTTTTGGACTTCTGCTTATGTAAAACATTTTTTAATGTGACTTTTTATAAGTTATAACCAATGTCTCAAATCTATAGCCGTTACAAATTAAAAGTGAATTTTCCATTATAATAAGTTATAATCTGTACTATCCTATATCAGCATACAGAATTTTCCATGATCAGCTTCAGGTCAATCAAATCACTTGCTTTAATTAATACCATTTCCACACCACTTAGCGCGTTGAACATCTATAGAATGGCCTGTTTTGTTTACCAAACAACAAAACTGACGACTTGATAAGAATAATAGTTTCTTTCTGCTGAATTTAATAAGGACAACGTTAGTAGCTTTGATTTGTTCAAATATTATTAGCATATTACTGTTCTCCTGGCCCTGGGGAAAAAAAGGAAAAAAAATGGAAATATGGTGCTACTTAGGTGAGGTCTCTACCCGTCCCAGCTTGTACTGCATTACATTAATTGCAGCAGTGCCCGTCAGGTCACGTATATTATCCTCTCAAAATAAAAAGTTAAAAGGAGTATAAAAAAGAAATAAAAAGAGAAAAAAAGTTTTATTATAATATTTTCAATATTAAAATAAAGTCAATGTTAAAAACTTTTTTTGAAAAATAAGTGATTTTCTTAAATGTTCTTGAGATAACACAACTCTCTTAATTTTCGTCAAAAATATTGAAAAAACTTGAAAAAGTTTTCAATATTTAAATAAAAAAAGCAAAATTAAAATAATTAAATATAAAATTAAGAATTATTCGTCAAAGTAAAAATAAAATAATGTATGATTAATAAATACTGTTTTCGAGGTTGAATTATAGATACTATTATCTTTTTGGTGTATAACTATATTTTCAAATCTTAAAATTGATTTACAAACTGAAATTTATTTTTTTAATAAATTTAAGTGAAGTTTAAATTATTATTAAAAAAATAAATTTAAATAAGTGACAATTTAAACAAAAAGATTGATAATGATTTCCTTTCATGTTAAGTTCCGGGTTTTTAAACTTGTCATTAATAAGATTAACAACTCAATTGCAACAATTCATAGATTAAGGAACAGAATGACATTTTATTAAAAGGTTTTGGCAACAAATACTTTTTATCGGGGAAAGAGAATTATTGATGGGTTACAAGTTTCACTAATATCACATTTTTTGGCTTTTATCAATAATGTCCACATGGAATTGGCATAAATACAAATAAAGAAGTTATTAATATCACAAAGAAATAAGAAAATATTGTTTTTTTTTCTTTTGGAAAATCAAGATAGATTTTATTGAATAGCATTGAAATATCAAAAATAAGAACAAGTCTTGAGCCTTGTTTGTTTATGGATAGCTACCTATTACTTGTAGTACAGTGCAATGAACAGATCTTTGGTAATTGCACAATTCATTCCTCCAAAATCAGGTGTTTATGCTATAGGAAGTCTCTGGTGAATTAGAGACTTAAAATGACATGCTGGTTAAAAATGTCGATAAAAATACTTTTTAAAAATAAAAAAAAAAATTTTGAGCCTTGAATAAGGAAAGGCGGGAGATACTAGTACTAGCATGATACAACTCAGCTGAGAAGTCTAAGGTATAATTAGAGACGGAACTAAATTTTTTTTTGAGTGATGTTATAATTAAAATAATAATAATTAATGAGTCATTAACATTATTAATTACATAAAACTTTAACATAAGTAGTATAATTTTTTTTTTCAAACAATTATGAAAAATTCATTAATAATCAATAGCAATTACAAAAGTATAGTTCCCCATAAGGGAGTACAATGGCTATAGCGATAACCAAGAAAAAGCACGAGGTACGTAGACTTGCTAGCAGAACTTATTTACACTGAAAAAACCATCCTAATACAAACATGTGTGCAAAATCTGCTATTACAACCAGAGATTAACCTAAGGCAGTAGCCTATCAAAAATAAAATTCAAATCCAATGAATGCAGCAGACCACAATAACTGGAAGCATGTAGAAGCAAAAGCATGAAGACAATAGACATGAAAAATGAACAGTAGAGGTAGTAAGCAATCGTAACTTAATCACAGGCAGTCGGTCATGAGCCAATCATCAGATAATCATGAATCAATGGCAGAGACATCAGCAAGCGTAACGAAAACCAATACATAATCCAATATTAGAGATGGCCATAGGCATAAACAAGGGGTTAAAAAGACTGAGAACAAAGCCATGGCAATAAATAATAGCATAAATCCCATAGCCGCATGTCACCAACATGCAGTGAATAAAGAACTTTTATCAACATTAGATTTAGCCAAGTGATCAGCAAAAGTGTTACTTTCCCGAAGAGTATGGATGAAAGAAACTCCACCTAGCAAGTGTCGAAGAGCATCGATCTTATTGAAAATTTGACATCGGTCCTAAAATCTATGTGAATCATTCATCACGCAAGCCAGAGCAATCTTTGAATCAAACTCAATGATCAATTTTGAGCCCCTATACAAAAAGGAAGAAAATAATCTCAGAGCATGTAGAATTGTCATGAGCTTTACAAAGTTAGAATCTTAGCAGCCAAGAGGGCCAGAGAACACTCTAACAACAAAACCCTCCAAGTTCCTTAAGACCACCCACACCTTGTCGGTCCATGTTTTCCTTTAGCTGAGCCGTCAACGTTGAACTTGAATTCATCAAGACCTGAAGATTGCTATGAAATTCCATGGCGTGAAAGAAGAGGGGATTGCCTGATACTAGAGTTAAGTGTTCAGTCCCCATCTAATTTCATCAATATAATCATTACAAGCATGTATCCATAATAGTTTCTGTGAACGGATTGGGAATAGGATTTTGTTCCCATCACATACTTATATTTGAGAAAACTGCTTCATTACGCGCAAGCCACAGAGACCAAAAGGTCGCACCATAAACCATCATCTAATGCTTACGTATGTCGCCTATAAATGAGCAGTCAGCTTAGGACTGAATGAACATGGAAATCGTGTTGGGGATGGACCACGCGATACCCCATCATTGAAGAACAAAGCAGCAAATTTTCCAACTGAAATTGCAAGAGATCAAAATATGGAAACATGTGTCTTCCTCAAGTCCACACCAAATACAACGAATTTGATCCTCACTCAATGGCACCCTACGTGAAGCAAGGAAGTGTTTAATGGGAATGGAATCAAGAATGCTAGCCATAGGAAACATTGAACCTTTGGTGGGATTGAAAGCTTCCATATTGAGTGAAACCATTCCTTATGGTCAAGAGGATCTGAATCAAGAATAGAGCAAAATACTTCGATTGAAAAGTGTCCACTTATTTAAAGGTTAGAGTTAGCTAGGTTCAAATTAATTATTTTACAGCAGCGGAAAACCCTAAACATACTAACAATTAATGTGAGCAACTTTTTTTAACCCAAGTCATATATACAGAGCCACCAAAGCCAGAGTACTTGTATATGAACCCAAGAGAAAATGAACTTTATAATTATAAACCAGCAAGCAGACAAACTTGAATTTACATTGTTATCGCAATCCAACAATTATTTAAGAATAACCAGAGGTGAAATTACATTGTTAATTATCACAATCCCTTTGGATGAAAAATAGTATAAGTAGTTGGTTCATCATGTTTAAGAAAGAGATCATCTCTCTTTACTATCTTTGCATGCCACTTTGCACCACTGGAGCTTTTGGCATCCCACTGCTTTGCTGCCTCACCATGTTTCCTTGCCATCCTACAGATTCCAAAACAAATGCACGTAAAAGATGTATACTCCAAAATCATACAACTGAGAGAAATAGGTTATGCAATTAAGTTGGATCAGTGAAATCAAATTGGCATTTTAATTACCAAGGGCCATGTCAAATCCACGGTTTTTGAGCTCCCGGTACTCTTGACACAAGGCGCAGGTCTCGCAGCAAAAATGGATGCAGCCGTCCCCGCAGGGGCTATCCTCCAGCATGAATTGACTCCTCATTCTGGTGCGATAGAAGGATGAGTAAATGCAAGCACATCCCGTGAACGAACAAAGTAATCCGTAGAGGGCTCCACTTGCTCCGCAAGCTGCACCACCGCATATTATTATTAAGTATTAAAAAACTGGACGACATAGAAAAAAAAGGAATCCATGCACGTCATCAGTTATAATTTTTTTGTTTAATAGTTTTTAGTAACAAATTCCACCTAATTATAGAAAATGAATTTTAGTGTTGCCCTATAAATAAATATATCGCCTCTGTCCTTTTCTTTAACCATCTTTTCTTTAGATGAAAAAAAAAATTATGTTCTCTTTTTTCTTTTGAATACTTAATATTCTTTTTTTTATATTATTTTACTTTTTGACATTAAAAATCATAATACTTAGAATTTAAAAACAATTAATATAAAATTAAAACTTATACACAAAAGTTAGTTAGGTAAAAACAAAATGAGAGGAAAAGAGTATTTATTTTGTCATTTATGCCTACAATAACTTACAAGTTGATCCTTGATCGACGATCTCAGCAACCTGCCCAAAAGTGATGTAAGGACACCAACATGTGATGCAACCTACAAAATTAAGTCATTAAAAACAAATTTCAAGGATGCCAATGAGGAAATATTAATACAACATAAAATCTTCCAATGTGGGCATATATTGAGTCAAAAAGAACCAAGAAGAGAGACTTATTTGAAAGGAAAAGCTTACAATTTGAAACATCAGAGCAGCAGTCACAGAGTCCTGTCGACCAAGGGACCTTCCCACATTGAGTAGGATAATATGGCTGGTTTGTTGAGGTACCGATCGGAACTCCAGTTGCTGGAGCCTGTTGCCCGAAAACAGGCATCGACTTTGGGTTGCTTGTGGGGTACATGGCGATGCCTGATGGATATTAATACTGAAAAAAAGATGTTGAAGGCTTGAAAATTAAGGGAGAAGAAAGATGGTGGTTTTATTTTTGTATATTGAAACGAGGAAGAAATATTCC